TCAGTAACCTACCTCCTACACCATACACTTGCAACATCTGGCACATTGCCCCCCTATCCACCCTGTCATACGCCTTTTCCAAATCCATAAATGCCACAAAGACCTCTTTAGCCTTATCTAAATACTGTTCACTTATATGTTTCACTGTAAACACCTGGTCCACACACCCCATACCTTTCCTAAAGCCTCCTTGTTCATCTGCTATCCTATTCTCCGTCTTACTCTTAATTCTTTCAATTATAACTCTACCATACACTTTACCAGGTATACTCAACAGACTTATCCCCATATAATTTTTGCACTCTCTTTTATCCCCTTTGCCCTTATACAAAGGAACTATGCATGCTCTCTGCCAATCCCTAGGTACCTTACACTCTTCCATACATTTATTAAATAATTGCACCAACCACTCCAAAACTATATCCCCACCTGCTTTTAACATTTCTATCTTTATCCCATCAATCCCGGCTGCCTTACCCCCTTTCATTTTACCTACTGCCTCACGAACTTCCCCCACACTCACAACTGGCTCTTCCTCACTCCTACAAGATGTTATTCCTACTTGCCCTATACACGAAATCACAGCTTCCCTATCTTCATCAACATTTAACAATTCCTGAAAATATTCCCTCCATCTTCCCAATACCTCTAACTCTCCATTTAATAACTCTCCTCTCCTATTTTTAACTGACAAATCCATTTGTTCTCTAGGCTTTCTTAACTTGTTAATCTCACTCCAAAACTTTTTCTTATTTTCAACAAAATTTGTTGATAACATCTCACCCACTCTCTCATTTGCTCTCTTTTTACATTGCTTCACTTCTCTCTTAACCTCTCTCTTTTTCTCCATATACTCTTCCCTCCTTGCATCACTTCTACTTTGTAAAAACTTCTCATATGCTAACTTTTTCTCCCTTACTACTCTCTTTACATCATCATTCCACCAATCGCTCCTCTTCCCTCCTGCACCCACTTTCCTGTAACCACAAACTTCTGCTGAACACTCTAACACTACATTTTTAAACCTACCCCATACCTCTTCGACCCCATTGCCTATGCTCTCATTAGCCCATCTATCCTCCAATAGCTGTTTATATCTTACCCTAACTGCCTCCTCTTTTAGTTTATAAACCTTCACCTCTCTCTTCCCTGATGCTTCTATTCTCCTTGTATCCCATCTACCTTTTACTCTCAGTGTAGCTACAACTAGAAAGTGATCTGATATATCTGTGGCCTCTCTATAAACATGTACATCCTGAAGTCTACTCAACAGTCTTTTATCTACCAATACATAATCCAACAAACTACTGTCATTTCGGCCTACATCATATCTTGTATACTTATTTATCCTCTTTTTCTTAAAATATGTATTACCTATAACTAAACCCCTTTCTATACAAAGTTCAATCAAAGGGCTCCCATTACCATTTACACCTGGCACCCCAAACTTACCTACCACACCCTCTCTAAAAGTTTCTCCTACTTTAGCATTCAGGTCCCCTACCACAATTACTCTCTCACTTGGTTCAAAGGCTCCTATACATTCACTTAACATCTCCCAAAATCTCTCTCTCTCCTCTGCATTCGTCTTTTCTCCAGGTGCATACACGCTTATTATGACCCACTTCTCGCATCCAACCTTTTCTTTAATCCACATAATTCTTGAATTTACGCATTCATATTCTCTTTTCTCCTTCCATAACTGATCATTTAACATTACTGCTACCCCTCCCTTTGCTCTAACTCTCTCAGATACTCCAGATTTAATCCCATTTATTTCCCCCCACTGAAACTCTCCTACCCCCTTCAGCTTTGTTTCGCTTAGGGCCAGGACATCCAACTTCTTTTCATTCATAACATCAGCAGTCATCTGTTTCTTGTCATCTGCACTACATCCACGCACATTTAAGCATCCCAGTTTTATAAAGTTTTTCTTCTTCTCTTTTTTAGTAAATGTCTACAGGAGAAGGGATTACTAGCCCATTGCTCCCGGCATTTTCGTCGCCTCATACGACACGCATGGCTTACGGAGGAAAGATTCTTTTCCACTTCCCCATGCACAAAAGAAGAAATAAAGAAGAACAAGAGCTATTTAGAAAAAGGAGAAAAACCTAGATGTATGTATATATATATGCATGTGCGTGTCTGTGAAGTGTGACCAAAGTGTAAGTAGGAGTAGCAAGATATCCCTGTTATCTAGCGTGTTTATGAGACAGAAAAAGAAACCAGCAATCCTACCATCATGCAAAACAGTTACAGGTTTTTGTTTCACAGTCATCTGGCAGGACGGTAGTACTTCCCTGGGTGGTTGCTGTCTACCAACCTACTACCTATATATATATATATATATATATATATATATATATATATATATATATATATATATATATATATATATATTTATACACTGATCTCTGGCCTTGAAACATGTTAAGCAGCGCTTTACCATCTTCACCATCTTTAGTTCACGCTAAACATTTCGATCCAAGGCAGCCAGCTTTCAGGCAGAAGGCTTACAACTTTTCATTTCATCACTTGCATGCATCGATCAACTAGAGATTTAAAAAATGCAAGGAATTCGCATGAGCAGGCGAAATATTCACAAACACTGATCTCTGGCCGAAAAAGACTCGAACCTACAAGCCTTGGAACAAGGTACGCAGTGCTGTACCATCCTCACCACACTGGTCCAATACCTTGGCGCCCAGCTCACGCTAGACATTTTGATCCAAGGCAGCCAGCTTTCAGGCAGGAGGCTTATAGCTTTTCATCTCATCCCCTGCATGCATCGACCAACTGAAGCTGAAGAAGGTCCAGGAGACTGCTCATATTTCCTCTTCATTATGAGTCAGCTGTCCATCCCCAATTTTGGACGGTCAAACATTTACCTTCACCTTCGTCCTATACATTTAAAAGAACCTTTTGGATTAGTCTTTGATTCATTAGCAACTTTACTTTCATAGTCATGTTTAGCCTTTCAAATCCCCATTTTTACTTCAGTTTTAAAATGAACATATTTGTCAGTAGGAGTAACCTTTCTCCTTTTGATGTATCTGTAAATTCCTCTTATCTCCTAATACATGCTTTAGTCTCCTATTTATGCATTTGGGATCATTCTTATTTGACCTAATTTCTCTGAAGAATAGTCATATATGCAGCCCCTCCAATACCTTAAGTATCATTACCGTCAATATAATCATTAGCTAGATTACCCCAGTCGAGATTAGACAGGTGTTCCCTAAGTCTATTATAATCGGCAGAACGGAAAACAGGATTTTTTATCCCCTATATTATCCATAATCTCATACTTTCATGCAAAATTAAAAATAATATATTTGTAATCACTTGCACTAAGCTCTTCAGTGATCTCCAGATTATTTATAAAGGTTCTTTATTTGACAAGACTTAGTCAAGTAAATTATTAACTTTGGTGGGTTCTGTTACATATTGTTTCAGAAAGTAGTCCTGAACTACTTCCAGGAAATCACTGGACTCCAGATAACCTGTCAAAGAAGTCCAATCAATTTGAATAAATATAAAATCTCTTACTATTACTATGTTTTCATGTCTAGAAGTTCTAACAATTTCGTCCCGAAGAAGTCTACTGTTGTTTACTGATTCACGGGGTCGGTAGATTAGTTTTTCTTGACTTTCTAGAAATTCTACCCAAACGGGTTGTGTTATTAATCCATGTATTTTTAAACCTGTTTTTGTTCAACAATTTATATTTTGACTTACACATAGTGTTACTCAGCTCCCCTTTCCATTATATTTGTCTACACGGAACAACTTAAACCCTTGATTATGGCACCGACAATTATATCCCGACTCTTTAATAGTAAAGATATCAAAGTTCCAGCCCACAAATGTATTTCAATAATTTTATTTCTAGCACTTTGACTATTAGTATAAAATACATTATTTTTTCTTCTGCTCTTTTTTTCCTGTGTAGATCTGCTTTTTCACAATTTCTTTTATAATTATCCAATGTTACTTTATGGCGGCTATTATTAAGGTTAATGATATCAAAGCCTAAATCAATATTTTCATACTCATACCTGGATGATCTTCATTAGTGTTAGAAATATCTAATTGACTCTTATTAATGTTAGATGTGCCTGAGTGACCGTCATTATTGTTTGACATTCCTGAGTGACATATCTGATTGACATCATTATGGGATAAATCAGACACTTGTTCAACACATGGGTCTGATTACGTCGACTCAAGGCTGGGGACTGATTACCTCAAACTCCTCCTGTTCTTCACCATTCTCCTTTGTATAGACTGATGAAGCCATTGTGTGGCTAAACGTTTCCTTATTAAAGATACCCAAGTGTTGCAAATGTGTCTAATTTATCACCTTGTCGGTTCTCTGAACCATTCATCTATACGACATCATTAGTGTGTGTGACATACCTGATTAACCTCTCCTGGCATGTAGCACATGACAATATTAGTGTGTGACATACCTGATTAACCTCTCCTGGCATGTAGCACATGACATTATTAGTGTGTGACATACCTGATTAACCTCTCCTGGCATGTAGCACATGACAATATTAGTGTTTGACATACCTGATTAACCTCTCCTGGCATGTAGCACATGACAATATTAGTGTTTGACATACCTGATTAACCTCTCCTGGCATGTAGCACATGGCATCATTAGTGTTTGACATACTGATTAACCTCTCCTGGCATGTAGCACATGACAATATTAGTGTTTGACATACCTGATTAACCTCTCCTGGCATGTAGCACATGACATTATTAGTGTGTGACATACCTGATTAACCTCTCCTGGCATGTAGCACATGACAATATTAGTGTTTGACATACCTGATTAACCTCTCCTGGCATGTAGCACATGACATTATTAGTGTTTGACATACTGATTAACCTCTCCTGCCATGTAGCACATGACATTATTAGTGTTTGACATACCTGATTAACCTCTCCTGGCATGTAGCACATGACAATATTAGTGTTTGACATACCTGATTAACCTCTCCTGGCATGTAGCACATAACATGAACTTTGTCAACATGATCGACCTTCAACATGGACAGTTTAACTTGGTTTATGTCTACTCGGTGACCTCTGATCTTTATCTGAGAATCAGCTCGTCCCTCGTACACAAGAACACCGTCAACAATTCTTGCCAGGTCGCCAGTCCGAAACAAAACTGAATAATCTGACCAAGAAAACACAAAGTTTTTATTTCTGATTTACTTTACACTACAAACTTACAGTAATGTAAACACTTACAGGATGTACAGTATTTCTGATTTACTGTACACTACAAACTTACAGTAATGTAAACACCTACAGGATGTACAGTATTTCTGATTTACTGTACACTACAAACTTACAGTAATGTAAACACTTACAGGATGTACAGTATTTCTGATTTACTGTACACTACAAACTTACAGTAATGTAAACACTTACAGGATGTACAGTATTTCTGATTTACTGTACACTACAATCTTACAATAATGTAAGCACTCACAGGATGTACAGTATTACACTCAAAACTTAATATAGGTTTATAATCCAGGCTTATAATGTTGCCTTATAATTTAGACATAATCTAGGTTAATAATCTAAGCCACACTATATATACTTATAATTTAGGAGGATAATCAGGTATACTCCAGGTATACATGATATTTTATTTAAAGTTATTAATAAAATACAAGTTACATGATAATTCAAAATTATCTATAAAAAATTAACAATTACCTACTAATAAAGGTGTTAGTGGATACTACTTATTACTGGAGATACTTATAAGTGTGAGTTTTGCTAATTATTAGTGTGAGTGGTAATACTTATATATGTGAGTGGTACTACTTATAAGTGCGATGGGTATTACTTATAAGTGTGAATGGTACTACATATAAGTATGTGTAGTACTACTTATAAGTGGGAGTAGTACTACTTATAAGTGTGAGTGGTACTATTTATAAGTGTGTGTGGTACTACTTTTAAGTGTGTGTGGTGCTACTTATAAGTGTGAGTGGTACTACAGATAAGTGTGAGTGGTACTACTTGTAAGTGTGTGTGGTACTATTTACGAGTGTGAGTGGTACTACTTATAAGTGTGAGTGGTACTACTTATAAGTGTGTGTGGTACTACTTATAAGTGTGTGTGGTACTACTTATAAGTGTATGTGGTACTACTTATAAGTGTGAACGGTACTACTTATAAGTATGTGTGGTACTACTTATAAGTGGGATTAGTACTACTTATAAGTGTGAGTGGTACTATTTATAAGTGTGTGTGGTACTCTTTTAAGTGTGTGTGGTGCTACTTATAAGTGTGAGGGGTACTACTTATAAGTGTGAGTGGTACTGCTTATAAGTGTGAGTAGTACTACTTACACGTGTGAATGATATTACTTATAAGCATGAGTGGTGCTATTTATAAATGTGTGGTACTACTTATAAATGTGAGTGTATACTATTTATGACTGGAGCTACACACATTTATAAAGAGCACCACTCATGCTTGTAAGTAATACCATTCACACGTGTAAGTAGTACTACTCACACTTATAAGCAGTACCACTCACACATATAAGTAGTACCACACACACTTATAAGTGTGAGTTGTACTACTTATAAGTGTGAGTTGTACCACTTATAAGTGTGAGTGATACTACTCATAAGTGTGAGTGGTACTACTTATAAGTATGAGTGGTATTACTTATAAGTGTGAGTGGTACTACTTATAAAAGTTACAGCAGGAAAATGTTTGACAAGTAAGTTTCTGCAGACTTGATAATAACACATGTAATGTGTACTCACCTAATTGTATTCAACTAATTGTGGTTGCTGTGGTAGAGTCATAGCTTCTGGTTCCGCCTCTTCACTAGACGCCACTAGGGCCTCTCTCTCCTCTTCTTCAAGTTATGTATCCTGCCTCCACTATCTCATTTCCCAGACTATATTCCAGTTCTTGAACATTCTATGGCCGAAGAAATACTTCCTAACAACCCTGTGGCTGATCTGAGTCTTCAACTTCCAATTTAAACTTATTGTTGCTATGTTCCATCACTGGCACTTCCTGTCTCTATCCACCTTGTCGATTCCACTCAGTAATTTAATATATCGTTATCATGTCCTCCCTGTCCCTCCTGTCTTCCAGTGTCCTCAAGTAGAGTTCTCTTAGCCACTCCTCGTAGCACATGCCTCTTAGCTACGGGATTAGTGCAAACCTTTGCACTTTCTCTAATATCCTGACGTGCTTGGCCAGGTGAGAGGTTTTAAACTGAAGCTGCATATTCCAGTATGGGCCTGACATGCAAGGAGTATAGGGTTCGGAACTATTCCTTACTGAGATGTCCTTATCCTATTCTTAGGCTCCATAGTCGCCCATTACACACATTCCAAGATCAGTCTCCTTGAGTGACGTTTGTAGTCTTTGGCTCTTTAGTCTGTACTCTGTCTGCAGTTTTCTTTGCCCTTCCCCGCTCTTCATGACTTTGCACTTGGTGGGGTTGAACTTCAGGAGTTAGTTACTGGACTACATCTGCAGCCAGTCCAGATCAAACTGTAGTCCTGCCTTATCCTCCTCCTCCGACTGAATTCTCATCGTTAACTTCACATCTTCTGCAAACACGATGACCTGACTATGGGGTCAGGTAGGTGATCTTGGTTGCCAATATGACGTTTTTCAGAGCATAGTTCTAGCTGCCCAGACAACTTTTGTTCCCAGTAGGGAAATTAGATCTAACAAAAATGATCCCAAATGGATGAACAATAGATTAAAACATCTCAGTGGTCATAAGAGAGCATATATAATCGTGTCAAGAGAGGGGATGGGCAGTTAGGAAATCAATATATTCAGTTAAGGAGAGAAATAAAACAAGGAATAAGAAAAGCAAAAAAAAAAAAAAAAAAAAAAAAAAAAAAAGGATTATGAGGTTAACTCAAAAGGGTTCTTTCAGGTATACAGGAGTAAGATTAGGGACAAGATAGGTCCACTTAAGAGTAACTCAGGTCAGATCACTGGCAGTGATAAGCAAATGTGTGAACTTTTCAATACCTACTTCCTCTCAGTTTTTACTCAGGAAGATACTAGCGAAATTCCAGAAATAAAAAATTATGTACAACAAGACGATAATAAACTGTGCACGATTGTGGTAACTAGTGACATGGTCCTCAGACAAATAGAGAAAATAGAACCTAACAAATCCCCAGGCCCTTATGATGGAAATAAATGGTATCAAATACCGACACAGTGGAAATATAAACATATATGCAGTATAATGTGATCCTTTATTGACAACGTTTCACCCACACAGTGGGCTTTTTCAAGTCACACACAGATCTACCTGGGGTGGATGGTACGAGAGTATTTATAGTCATGTTCAGAATGTTGAGGTCAGGTGGAGAATGGTGCATCTGATGATCTACCGGGTTGAGTTATAGAGTCTTGGGTAGCTTGGCAGGGGTATTGGACAAGTTGTGAGTAGACCTTCTGCAGTGTTCTATGTTCTTATGTGGGATAGCGATGAAGAAGTTTCTTGGCGAGTGGTTCAGCTATGTTATAGAAGCCATTGTTCTGGTTGAAATTGTTGGTTATAGAGATAAGCGATGATTCCAGGATTCTTCGGTATTGAGTGTTGTCTTCTGTGGCGATAAGTCTTGAGTTTCTGTAGTTAATTAAATGGTTGTGTGAATTGCGATGTTGTACGCAGGCATTCCTTGTATCGTCAGTCCTGCTTGCATATTCGTGTTCTGAAATACGTGTTTGGAGGTCTCTTGATGTTTCGCCCAAATATAATTTGTTGCAGTCATTACAAGGATTATGTATACCCCTGCAGAGGATGGAGGCTTGTCCTGTCTACTACTGGTGATGTCCTTGATGGTCGTGGTTGTGGAGGTAGATACTTGGAATGATGTATTGGAAAAGATGTTGGAAACATGTTTGGCAATGGAGTTGGTGGGGAGGACTATGTATCTCTTCTCGGCAGTGTCTTCTCTGGGTGTGTTGAAGATGTTTAATGCCCGCCGTCTGCAGTCTCTGATGAAGTAACGAGGATAGTGGAGTTTAGAAAATACTTGTTCAATTATAGTGCATTCTTCCTCAAGGAACTCATTGCTGCAGATTCTGAGTGCACGCAGGAGTGGTGGGTTTTCGATAGACTTTAAAACGAAGTTCATGGTCAGCTTTGCAGAGCAGAACATCAAGGAAAGGAAGAGTGTTGTCGACTTCTTCTTCAAGTGTGAACTGGATTGAAGGCTCGACCTGGTTGAGCTTGTCTTATGAACTGACTCACGAAATCGTAATGACACGATTGCAAACAAACCATACCACAGGCGGGATTGAACCCGCGGTCAGAGAGTCTCAAAACTCCAGACCGTCGCGTTAGCCACTGGAATGTAAAGAAGAACTTATCATACCTTTGGCTAATCTTTTCAACATATCACTACAAACCGGCATAGTGCCTGATTAGTGGAAAATGGCAAATGTAATACCTATTTGCAAGGCAGGTGACAGGTCCTTAGCTTCGAACTATGGACCAATAAGCCTTAACTCCACAGTGGGAAAATTTATGGAATTAATAATTGCCGAAGCAATTCATAGCCATCTTCAAAGGCATAAATTGATTAATGAATCTTAGCACGGTTTAACAAAGGGGCGTTCCTGTCTTATAAATTTACTAACTTTTTATCACAAGGGTATTTGAGGAGGTAGATCATGATAGATAGAGTTCCACATCAGAGGCTATTGAGGAAACTTAGGCACAAGGAATATGAGGGGAAATTTTTCCTGGGTAGAGGCATGGTTAACAGATAGGCAGCAGAGAGTTTGCATAAATGGGGAGAAATCAGAATGGGAGTACGCCACTAGCGTGCTGTTGATGTATCCCACATCTCCGTCTTTCTGGAGTTCTTTCTGTCTCCATTGTGAATACATCTTTGAATCTCATGTTGAGCTCCTCACAAACTTCAAGGTCGTTTTTGTAAACTCCCTTCCTTTCTTCCTCAGCCTGATTATCTAGTCTTTGACTATTGTTTTCTTCCTGATGTGACTGTACAACTTCACTTCGGACTTTGCTTTTACTGTTATCTCATTCTCATATTGTCATTGGGCCTCCCTTATCTGTGTATATTCATTTCTTGCTCTTCAACTACTCTTCTTATTCTCCGGGGTCCCATGCTTTCTATACTTCTTCCATT